CGGGTTTGTACGGGATTGCCCTTGCAACGTGCACTAGCAAGATAATGTGTTGCGTTGCCACGCGGTTAACAAAATAAGTGCTTGCATAAATTTTTTTTACACTGCATTTGAAATACAGTGCAAGTTATTTCGCTAGCATGCATTGCCGCAACATTGGGTTGCCATTGAGGGTTAATTGCAACACAATGCACCATAGTGTATTGTACAGTGCATTGTGTGATGGTGTTCGTTGAGCGCCATTCTATGGTGTTAATAGGCCCTGAAAGTTCTTTATAGTTCCTATATAACATCTGTGCATAGAAAAGCTAAACTCAGGAATGTAAATAAGACCACCTCCCAGCCAGCGTTGTAAAAAAACGGCCGGCCGGGAGCTCTCTAGATCTGAGCGGGCGTCTTCTCGCGCGCGAGCTGGAAAGTCCCAAAACTTAAAAACAGGCATGCCTGTGAACATACAAGTGATCCGCCAGCTATATAGCCGGCGGATCGCTTGTAATGGTGCCGATCCGTGTGTCCTCCCCCCGCTGGTCCCGGGCTCCGATGTGCCCGATGCGAGCCCGGGACTAGCATAGTGCCTCTGTAACAAGTGATCAGAGGGAGGTCGGTACACGATCTCCCTCCAGTCCCCTCTCCGCAGTCAAAATGCGGAAGTGATGTACATTACATCACTTCCGCATTCTTGTGTCACTCTCCAGCTTCAGAAGGGGACCTAGGTGACCTTAGGGGTCTTGGAGACCCCTGATGTCTCCATAAAGAGGACCTGTCACATATCTTTGCTGTCACATAGGGGAATTTCTTAGCCCCCTATGTGATAGCAATAAAGTTAAGTGAAAACAAAATAGGAAAAAAAATGTTTCAAAAAATAAGGTTATAACTAGACCATTAATCCTCATTTTTAAGGACTCCTTAATGACTGGTAGGATCCCCAGTGATTGGCGGAGGGCTACGGTAGTCCCAATATTCAAATAATGAAAAAGAAAACTTTTTTTTTCAAAATTTTCAGTAATTTGAACTTAATATAGTAAAAAATAAAAGGTCATTAAATACCACCAAAAGAAAACTCTATCTGTCCCCAAACAAATGGTTTAAAATGTATTTCAGTACAGTGTTGCACGATGGATTAAATGCCAGTCAAAGTACCGCAGCGCTAAATACTGAAAATGGCCTGGCCAGGAAGCTAGATAATTGGCCTAGCAACATAAAGTAACCATGTACATGGTTCTGCTGGATACAGAAAAATTAGTAATACCCCCCTCCACCGCTTATGTGCGGACTTGTGATGGTGCGGGACATTGTAAGTTCTGTTTGAAGAACAAGAGCGTCTCCCACGAGTCACTACAGTTATACATGCAAAATTCGACCGTAAACCCCAAACGTCACGACGTTCTCCTTTCTTTGAACGCACCAACGTTAAAAACAGCAGAGTAGGTTGTGCTTGTGCAACCACGCCCATAGCTGTATGGAGGAAAGGCGATGATGAGATTGCGTTCGAAGGCGTGCCGTGGTCGGGGCCTTGCTCATCATGGAGACAATGGTGATTGGTTTGGAATGAAGGAACCTGGTCACATGGGCCGTCCTCGTTCCGGCGCGGGGGTCGCGGAGTCCAAGATGGCGGCAGAGCTAGTGGAAGCGAAGGTGAGACCGGGAAAGAGAGGGATGGAACGAAGTAGGGCATATTTCAGATGGTATTTTGTAGTGTGACACTCGCTTCTATTTTCTCGAAATGCATTGTTTTCAGATAGTGCAGCAGCACCACCTGCTACGCCCTGCACCGCTAGTCATGAGCAGGCTTTAATTGTCCGTGTTTCAGTAACATTTTCTAGAAGTTTCTCATACATTTGTTGGGAGGCACTGACAAGACTTGGGTTTCTTTTTGCTGTGTAATCATGTGATTGGATCCTGTTCACTTATCTCCTCTCAGATTTAGGGTGGGTGGCATATGTGATAGTGACAATGCTAAATGACACACACTTTACTTTCGATCTACCAAGAAGTATGTAAGCTTTGCTGCATCTAAATTCATTGGAAAGTTTAGGATGTTTCCCCACATGTTACATAGTTTTGGTGGGTTTTAAAGTTGATTGTATGGTGAGCCCTAAATGATAGTCATGCTTGTTATGACTTTATTTATATGGTAATGTAGTTGTTTAGTTCGGGTGATTTTGTATAGAGGATTCTCTTTTTTTAAATGTATTATTGTGACCAATAGCAGGGCAATGATTTTTCACACATCACCATTTCTGTCTTTGCCTACCTAATATGTGCAGCCAAAGGGATTTCTCTTTGCACTAAAGGTTTTGGATTTGATTTGTATGTGGTTCTGGGATGCCAAAGCCACTAATTCCCATTCAAAAACATAGTATATCTAAAGGCAAACGTTATATAGTATATTTGTGCCTTTTAGGGAGATTTCCCTCCACTTCTTGTGATGTAGACATGACAGGAAGTGATGCGATATGTTTGCAACAGGAGGAAAATTCCAACTTGGACAGTTGTCACAGGAACATGTGTCTCCATTGGAAGAGTTCCCCTCACTTCCTTAGCTGGTGGCAACTCAGAACATTGGATTTCCCATCACATTTTTATTTTATTCCTGGAGACATTGGTGATCAGAACAATTAGAGAGATAGTGGAGCTTTTCCCAAAAACAATAAATGCACACACATTAATAAAAGGAATAATGTGCATTTGTTCATTTGTTCAAAGCATTGCAGCCACAATCAGTGGGTGCAATGCTCTGACTCCAGCCCTTGGCTGTACCGAGGTACGGACTTTGTTACATAGACTGCAGGAAGTATGAATGGACTACAAGTTCTATGACATCACTGCACTTGTATTGCATTGAGATCTGCTGTGGTGGTAGGCGGGAGTTGTAGTTCCATTTGCAGATGCTGTGTGGGTGGAGCCTGTGGGGAGAAGAACCCATGTTATTCTGGTAAGTTTGGTTTTAAAGCCGTATTTTTATTTTTTGTTGCGTTAAGTGCTCGTTTGTGTCTAGGTGTGGAAAAAAAAAGTTATACTGAACTGATGCCAGCTTCTTAGACCAGTCCTTCCAGTGTCTCACCCCCCTCCACTGCTGCGGTCTAAGGTCCCATATATCAACATGTATGCACTGTGTATAGACCTGAGGACACAGAGAAGATTCCAATGCTGCAGTGTAGGATTAGACGGGCTGAAGGGAGCGCTGTGACAGCTGGCTGACTCGGAGCGTTAGGTGAGTCTATCTGTTATTTTAGCACCTAGACACAAATGAGCACTTAACCCTTGCAGTGTGGGGGTAGACCCTCTGCAAGGGTTAAAAAAAACAAACAAATCCTGGAGTTTTTCTTTAAGGAGCTGAGGGATGTGACCATATTTTTTGTTACACCCTAAAGCTGGCTACACACTGTAATTTATTTGTTTAGCCTGCACGCTTGCGAGCATTGATCTTAGAATCTCCCACTGTCGGAATACTTGAATGGAGCCGCAACTGATTGGCTGCCCACTTTGTTAGTTTAAAGATTTTCTGATTGGCTCCTTTGATCAGCTGATCGAGGGATGCCAGATGGCATCGTGCCAACAGCAACACCCACTGTGAATTTTATCTGCTTCATCAAGAACCAGCTGAAATTCGCATAGTGTATGGCCAGCTTAAAGGAGAACTATGAGGTGAGTGATTTCCACTCATCCTCATAGTTAGAGCCGACGTGTGACAAAGAAGCTGTTGCAGGTCGGCTCTATAGATCGGGAAGTGAAACATGCCACCAATCCACTTCCCGATCGTCTCCCGGCGGTGACTGTCAGTCACCGCTCTCCACAGGGATTCCCCCCTACCCTCTGATCCTCCAGCGCAGACTGGAGGAACGGGAGGGGGCGGGCACAGCTGGCTCTGCCTCTAGATAGGCAGAGCCAGCTGTCACTCACACAGCTGGGTGGATCTCGACAGAATTGTCAGGATCCGTTCCCGCTGCGGTGCTTTCAGTATATCGTGGGTAATAGCTCGCTTTAGGTCACTGGAGGAGGTTAGTATATGTCCTCCCGTGACCCTAAAGAGAACTGTGGGGAAAAACAGTTACCCCTTAATTCTCAAGTATAGGTGAAACAGGGTCTAATGTGTGGAGTCATCCTTTTAATTTTGTTTCCCCAGTCATTTTCCAGGACAGCAAATGAGATGAGGCTCCGCCTGCCTGCAGCAGGAAACACATCAACCACATTTAAATAAAAAGACTCCTCCTTCCATTCCAAATCAGTTTTTTTGTGTTTCCTCCGGCTACACAGGTACATCGTAATGTTTGTTATTTTGTGGCTCATTGTTTTATTGCCTTAGGGCAGAGCCTAACCCTGCATGCGTTGGGACCACTCCGGGCATTGCCTGCTGCGGCGCATACAGGGTTTTTTCCCCTATCGGACCCTAATCCGAGTTGGCCAAGGTTCCCCTCCGTCGCTCGGGGAGGGAAACCATCCTCCTGATGTGCGCGGCTCCAGACGGTGCACCCCCCCCTATATAGTAAAAAATAAAAGGTAATTAAATACCACCAAAAGAAAACTCTATCTGTCCCCAAACAAATGGTTTAAAATGTATTTCAGTACAGTGTTGCACGATGGATTAAATGCCAGTCAAAGTACCGCAGCGCTAAATACTGAAAATGGCCTGGCCAGGAAGCTAGATAATTGGCCTAGCAACATAAAGTAACCATGTACATGGTTCTGCTGGATACAGAAAAATTAGTAATACCCCCCTCCACCGCTTATGTGCGGACTTGTGATGGTGCGGGACATTGTAAGTTCTGTTTGAAGAACAAGAGCGTCTCCCACGAGTCACTACAGTTATACATGCAAAATTCGACCGTAAACCCCAAACGTCACGACGTTCTCCTTTCTTTGAACGCACCAACGTTAAAAACAGCAGAGTAGGTTGTGCTTGTGCAACCACGCCCATAGCTGTATGGAGGAAAGGCGATGATGAGATTGCGTTCGAAGGCGTGCCGTGGTCGGGGCCTTGCTCATCATGGAGACAATGGTGATTGGTTTGGAATGAAGGAACCTGGTCACATGGGCCGTCCTCGTTCCGGCGCGGGGGTCGCGGAGTCCAAGATGGCGGCAGAGCTAGTGGAAGCGAAGGTGAGACCGGGAAAGAGAGGGATGGAACGAAGTAGGGCATATTTCAGATGGTATTTTGTAGTGTGACACTCGCTTCTATTTTCTCGAAATGCATTGTTTTCAGATAGTGCAGCAGCACCACCTGCTACGCCCTGCACCGCTAGTCATGAGCAGGCTTTAATTGTCCGTGTTTCAGTAACATTTTCTAGAAGTTTCTCATACATTTGTTGGGAGGCACTGACAAGACTTGGGTTTCTTTTTGCTGTGTAATCATGTGATTGGATCCTGTTCACTTATCTCCTCTCAGATTTAGGGTGGGTGGCATATGTGATAGTGACAATGCTAAATGACACACACTTTACTTTCGATCTACCAAGAAGTATGTAAGCTTTGCTGCATCTAAATTCATTGGAAAGTTTAGGATGTTTCCCCACATGTTACATAGTTTTGGTGGGTTTTAAAGTTGATTGTATGGTGAGCCCTAAATGATAGTCATGCTTGTTATGACTTTATTTATATGGTAATGTAGTTGTTTAGTTCGGGTGATTTTGTATAGAGGATTCTCTTTTTTTAAATGTATTATTGTGACCAATAGCAGGGCAATGATTTTTCACACATCACCATTTCTGTCTTTGCCTACCTAATATGTGCAGCCAAAGGGATTTCTCTTTGCACTAAAGGTTTTGGATTTGATTTGTATGTGGTTCTGGGATGCCAAAGCCACTAATTCCCATTCAAAAACATAGTATATCTAAAGGCAAACGTTATATAGTATATTTGTGCCTTTTAGGGAGATTTCCCTCCACTTCTTGTGATGTAGACATGACAGGAAGTGATGCGATATGTTTGCAACAGGAGGAAAATTCCAACTTGGACAGTTGTCACAGGAACATGTGTCTCCATTGGAAGAGTTCCCCTCACTTCCTTAGCTGGTGGCAACTCAGAACATTGGATTTCCCATCACATTTTTATTTTATTCCTGGAGACATTGGTGATCAGAACAATTAGAGAGATAGTGGAGCTTTTCCCAAAAACAATAAATGCACACACATTAATAAAAGGAATAATGTGCATTTGTTCATTTGTTCAAAGCATTGCAGCCACAATCAGTGGGTGCAATGCTCTGACTCCAGCCCTTGGCTGTACCGAGGTACGGACTTTGTTACATAGACTGCAGGAAGTATGAATGGACTACAAGTTCTATGACATCACTGCACTTGTATTGCATTGAGATCTGCTGTGGTGGTAGGCGGGAGTTGTAGTTCCATTTGCAGATGCTGTGTGGGTGGAGCCTGTGGGGAGAAGAACCCATGTTATTCTGGTAAGTTTGGTTTTAAAGCCGTATTTTTATTTTTTGTTGCGTTAAGTGCTCGTTTGTGTCTAGGTGTGGAAAAAAAAAGTTATACTGAACTGATGCCAGCTTCTTAGACCAGTCCTTCCAGTGTCTCACCCCCCTCCACTGCTGCGGTCTAAGGTCCCATATATCAACATGTATGCACTGTGTATAGACCTGAGGACACAGAGAAGATTCCAATGCTGCAGTGTAGGATTAGACGGGCTGAAGGGAGCGCTGTGACAGCTGGCTGACTCGGAGCGTTAGGTGAGTCTATCTGTTATTTTAGCACCTAGACACAAATGAGCACTTAACCCTTGCAGTGTGGGGGTAGACCCTCTGCAAGGGTTAAAAAAAACAAACAAATCCTGGAGTTTTTCTTTAAGGAGCTGAGGGATGTGACCATATTTTTTGTTACACCCTAAAGCTGGCTACACACTGTAATTTATTTGTTTAGCCTGCACGCTTGCGAGCATTGATCTTAGAATCTCCCACTGTCGGAATACTTGAATGGAGCCGCAACTGATTGGCTGCCCACTTTGTTAGTTTAAAGATTTTCTGATTGGCTCCTTTGATCAGCTGATCGAGGGATGCCAGATGGCATCGTGCCAACAGCAACACCCACTGTGAATTTTATCTGCTTCATCAAGAACCAGCTGAAATTCGCATAGTGTATGGCCAGCTTAAAGGAGAACTATGAGGTGAGTGATTTCCACTCATCCTCATAGTTAGAGCCGACGTGTGACAAAGAAGCTGTTGCAGGTCGGCTCTATAGATCGGGAAGTGAAACATGCCACCAATCCACTTCCCGATCGTCTCCCGGCGGTGACTGTCAGTCACCGCTCTCCACAGGGATTCCCCCCTACCCTCTGATCCTCCAGCGCAGACTGGAGGAACGGGAGGGGGCGGGCACAGCTGGCTCTGCCTCTAGATAGGCAGAGCCAGCTGTCACTCACACAGCTGGGTGGATCTCGACAGAATTGTCAGGATCCGTTCCCGCTGCGGTGCTTTCAGTATATCGTGGGTAATAGCTCGCTTTAGGTCACTGGAGGAGGTTAGTATATGTCCTCCCGTGACCCTAAAGAGAACTGTGGGGAAAAACAGTTACCCCTTAATTCTCAAGTATAGGTGAAACAGGGTCTAATGTGTGGAGTCATCCTTTTAATTTTGTTTCCCCAGTCATTTTCCAGGACAGCAAATGAGATGAGGCTCCGCCTGCCTGCAGCAGGAAACACATCAACCACATTTAAATAAAAAGACTCCTCCTTCCATTCCAAATCAGTTTTTTTGTGTTTCCTCCGGCTACACAGGTACATCGTAATGTTTGTTATTTTGTGGCTCATTGTTTTATTGCCTTAGGGCAGAGCCTAACCCTGCATGCGTTGGGACCACTCCGGGCATTGCCTGCTGCGGCGCATACAGGGTTTTTTCCCCTATCGGACCCTAATCCGAGTTGGCCAAGGTTCCCCTCCGTCGCTCGGGGAGGGAAACCATCCTCCTGATGTGCGCGGCTCCAGACGGTGCACCCCCCCCTGTGTGCAGTGGGGTGAGTGGAGGCGGAGCACCCCCTTGGGATTGTGTTGCCAAGTTGGGGAACCGCTGTGGCATGCTGGCAGATGGCAAGGTGGACTTACCTTGAAGTCGTTCCTCCCCATGGGCCCTCTTGAAACCCTTTGTTTGCTGTTACCCTGGCCGCAGCACCGTGTTGTCTCGCGCGGGAGGGTGTCAGCATCGCTGGCTCACTTGTGGTGCTGCAGGACTCGGGAAGTGGGTTGCATCGGCATCACAGTGAGGGCGGAAGTGAGGCGCTGAGAGCGTGTGACGCGCTTCCTGTGCGCCGGCTGGGGCTGGATCTCCACACGCGACGGTTGTTTGGCGCATAAAGGAGCTGGCTTGCGTGGCTAGGTAGCATGTGCAGAGTCTCTGGGGGGTAAAGCTGCCACATTCAACGCCTCGAGACGACCGGGACCACATACGGCCGGTGGGGGCGTCAGGAGCGGGCTGTTAGCGTGGTCGGCAGTAAGGGCAGGATGCCGGACCGGGTGCTGCCTCCACAGATCTGGAAGAGCATAGTACTGGCGCTAAGGTAGGCAAGTTTTTTTTTATTGAGAATCTCCCCTATCCTTACCCCGCTTGTGTTGGGGACCTGTTGCACAGGACAAGCTGGGGGGTGATGTTTGGTTGAACTTTGCTTGCATTTTGGGTGGAGTACTGGCTGACGGCTTCCTTCTGTCTTATGCAGGTCAAGGCCACGGAGGATAAGCCCCCTTGCTCAAGCTAGCGGCTCCCGCCCAAAAGGGAAGAAGCGTGCCTCTTGCAGTGTCAAAATGTCACCTTCATGGTCCAAACCCTTATGCAAAGTTTGTTTAGAGAAAGTGGTGGCCACAGAATCGGCTGGGATGTTCAAGGGGCTGATTCTATAAGAGATGAAATGGTTACTACTAAGTGGGTTTATTAGTAGACACCAGTTTACCCGGAATATCGGGGGAAGGTAGCTCGATGGGCCATGCAGAAACTGCGTGAGCAAGCAAGCGCCCAGTGAATCCTCAGGCTCTCAAGTAGTCAGAGGATCAGGAGTCGGAGGGGGAGTTACATAGCAGCAGAGCTACAAAATTCCTATTTCCTTCATTTGAGACAGGTGAGCTGTTAAAGGCTATATGGGATACTTTAGGTATTAAAGAAGAGTCGGCTGAGCTGTCAGTTCATGATAAGCTTTACAAAGGACTCCAGACTAAGAAAGGGCGTACCTTACCGGTTCACAAATCACTCTCGGACTTGATCCAAGAGGAGTGGAAGCACCCAGAGAAAAGGATGGTTTTCTTGGCGGGGCACAAGCGCAGGTTCCCATTTGCAGAGGAGGATTCAGGCCTGTGGGAGAAATGCCCGAAAATTGATGCCTCCCTATCAAAGGTCCCTAAAAAGACTGATTTATCGTTTGAGGATATGGGAGCATTGAAGGACCCGATGGACAGGAAAGCGGAGGCTTTGCTCAGGAAGGGATGTGAATCGGCAAGGGCTGGATTTAAACCAGGGCTGGCCATTACTTGCATGGCTAGGACTTTATGTGTGTGGTTGAATCAGCTAAAAGTACACCTGGAGTCTGGTACGGATCGGGATCAGTTGCTGGGTTCCCTCCCCGTGCTGAGCAAGGCAGCCGCTTACATTGCGGACGCCTCGGCTGGGGTGGTCAGGTTCTCAGCTCGAACTACAGCATTAATAAACTCCCAGGAGAGCGTTGTGGCTCAAAACTTGGTCAGGAGATGCAGCCTCCAAGGCAAAGTTATGCGGGCTCCTTTTCAAAGGTGACTTGCTTTTTGGCCAGGAGTTGGAGGCGGTATTAGATAGATCCGCGGACAAGAAGAAAGGTTTTCCGCTGCCTTCCAAGCAGCAGGTGAAAACGTTTTTTCGTGGCCAAAGGGGTCAAAATTTCCGCAAAGAGAAAAGGGGATTTTATGGGAAAAAACAAGACCAGTCTAAAGGGTGGGCCTTCAAAAAGGGAAAGTCTAAGAGCAATTTCCTCTTTAACCCACCTCAGCAGCCCAATAAATCCCAATGACCGATTGCGCAGGGTGGGAGGAAGACTGGGAGAATTCTTCAGGCTTCTGATTACTTTCCTGTCCAAAGACCGGAAGAAAGCAGAGGCAATGACAGCGGCTCTGCAAGATCTGTTGGACCAGGGGGTCATTGT